GAAAGACAAATCCCAGATGACTTCACTCATGTGTGGACTACAGAGAAACAAGACAAAGTGATAAAATGAAACCAAAACAAACTCTAGAAATATGACTGCAGAATTGAGGCTTCTAGAATAGGCGAGAAGGTAAAGGTGGGACAAAGAGGGGAAGGGGCCCAATGGTTTATGGTAAATAACTATGGGTGCTTTGGTGGGGGGCATGTGGTATGGTGATGACCATCTGAGAGGTGAACCTATCCCCTTTAGTCAATGTTACCTCAAAAAGAAAAAAGAAATGGGCCTCCCCTGGTGGCGCAGCGGTTGAGCACTGGGCTGCGAAGCTGCCCACAGCCTCTGTAGCACTGGTTCGATCCCCAGCCACCGGCGAGGGTCCCACATGGCACACAGACCTCTCCTGCCGCACCCACTGCTCCCCTCAGCAGTGTATTTCGTCAGTCTGCCTGTTCTGTTCCCTGCTCTGGCTCTGGTGAATTCTCTCTCCCTCCCATGCTTCTGATGTACCCAGTGCTTGTATAAATAAATAAATAAATCTTAAAAAAAAGAAAAAAGAAATAAGGATGTTCTGCTAATGCTTACCCTACCTACCTCCCATAGTGAAGAAATGAAAAATATGGGAGAGTTCTCTATAAGTTATAAAGTAAAAAAGTTAACAGCCATTTTAAATTAATCATTAATAAGTATTTAAGAATACAGAAAGTGGGGTCTCCCTGGTGGCTCAAGGGGTTAAGCACTGCACTATGAAGCAATCCGCAGCAGCCTCTGCAGCACAAGTTCAATCCCCAGCCAGCCAGAGAGAAACCCACATGGCACAGCAGACCTCTCCTGTCTCGCCCGCTGCTCCCCTCAGCAGTATTTGAGTCAGTCTGCCTGTTCTGTTCCCCACTCTGTCTCTGGTGAATCCTCTCACCCCCCCATCTCTGGCCTGTACCCCAGCTCTTATATGCATAAATAAATAAATCTTTTTAAAAAATACAGAAAAACAGAATTCACATGTACTGATTTCCATTATCATTCCTAATTCCAAGAATTGCCTGTATCTCTCCCACCTGACCCAAAGCCTTCTCCTCTTGTTTGGTAATTAACTTCCGACCCATTCTTTGGTCCACCTCCCCCTAGACAGCAGTTTCTGATTGCAGCACTCAGCATTGGAAGCTCTCATGCCAGCATCCTTACAAGATTTGTTTACAAGTATTTCATCCAGTTTGACTGGGAGCTCACCTGAAGGCTCAGCCAGCACCTGCGGCCTTGGGGCGTGGTTGACCTGGCGTTTCCATTCTTGGGTCATCCTCAATGCTCCCCCCACCCCCCCTGGGCCTATCCCAGCCCCCACTGGAGACTGCAGGAATCTTCAAGCCTGAACATATCCCTTCCAAAGCAGAACCAGGGGCCCGACACTGCAGCCAGGCCCCCCACAGAGCCACACACCACTGGAAGGCCCTCCGCTAGAGACCAGGGTCTCCACCACCCCATCAGAGCTCCTACCAGGTGACTTATTTCTCCATCACAAAAGTGGAGAAACTGGGGCTACTCTGGTGGACCAGGGGTTAAGACTCAGCACTGTCGCTGCTATGGCCTGAGTTCGATTGCTGCTATGGCCTGAGTTCGATCGCCATCCAGGGAGCTGACCCACATATGCCGCAGCAGACCTCTCCTGTCTCACCCGCTGCTCCTCTCAGCAGTGTATTTTAGTAGAACTGCCTGTTCTGCTCCCCACTCTGTCTCTGCTGTATCCTCTCACCACCACCGCTGCCCCACCACCACCTCTGGCCTACACGCCAGTTCTATACACACACACACACACACACACACACACACACACACACGCGCGCGCGCGCGCACAAAGTGGAGAAACTGAGACCTATTCATTTTCTCAAAACCTGTCCCTTAAAGCAAAACCAACACAAGGACAGAAAACAAGTTGGAGCTTCTTGGGAATGTCAGCATTGTCCTTCTTGACTTAGGGATGGAGGTGGGGTCTGCTTTGCTGCTGTCATGTAAACTATACATACTGTTTTCAGACACTTATACACATGCCAGGATTCACGACCGAAAATTGCCTTTCTGGATGAAGCTGTCTGGAATGTACTCCCCCATGATTCCTTCTCTGGTGGAATGATGGTGGGCTTTCTGCAAGTGGGGAGAAGGAGGCCCTGCCCCACCAGCAAAGGCTGTGCACCAGCAGCCAGAATCATAGAGGATTCAGCTGCGACTTTCTCTCGGTATCTGCCTTCTAATTGCTTTTCCTGATCTCAGCTCTGAGCAGGCAGGTCGACACATGGTGTGAATGGAAGAACATAAGCTGGAAGGCAAATGAGTCAAAAGCATTTCAAACTGGACTGGAATAATGGATTTTGGAGCTCTCCCCCTTTTTCTTCTGGGAAAAATATTAATACTGCTCAGAAATCCCTGGGGAATTATTCACAGGGGCTTTTGTGAGGAGAAAGAAAACCTCAGGGGAGGCCCCTGGCCAGTACATCCAGGCCCTTCCTTTCAGGAAAGGCTCCATTCCTCTAGTCACACAGGGGTAGGAGCCGGGTCCCTCCCCTGCCCTCTGGCTTCTAAAAGGCAACAGGCAGAACCAGCTGACTCTTATGCTCAACCACTCACGCAGGCCTCAGCAACATCCACCACATGCTGCCTTTCTCACAGGGACATGTGCTCCTGTCCCTCTCTGCATTTCCCCCTCCCCATTTCCCCTCCCCCAGTTTCCATGCACACCGGATCTGAGCCTTCTTGCTAGAATTCCAACGTACTTTTGGTTGACCAAACTCTCCACGGCCAGTAATCCTGGCATCTCCCCCCCCAGCCAGCAGGGGATCTAGAAGCAAAGCAGCAAAGGACTTATAATGATGACAAATGAATCAAGACATGAACTCAAGAGGCTATCACAGGAATCCATGCCACAGCGGCTGGGAATGTGACTGGATTGTTGGGCTCCTGTCGCAGGAGAGTCTGCCGTGACCTCCCCCAAAAGTGACACCCGTGTACGGAGCAGCTGAGAGGGTCCCCAAAGTACCTTCATGAGTCCCCTTGGGGTGAGGGGCAATTCCACTTTCAGTTGCTCCTTTAAGATTGTTGCTTAACTATTTTTTTTTTTCTTTCCCCTGGCCCTCCCCATCCCAAACCACAAATCCCAGACCAAAGTAAGCTCAACGCTGCAGGACCACAGAGTGAGACCACAGGCCTCCCTAAGACCTCTGTCACTAATTAGGGCGTCTTTGGTGGAGACTGAAGTTCTCTCCCCATCTCACCCCCATCTCCAAAAGATGCCTCAGACTGTGCCTCTTTTTTTTTTTAAATGACGATGATTTCCTCCAATGCACTTCATCTATCACAAAGCCTAGAGCGTCTTGAAAAATAGGAGTGGGGGGCCTCCCCGGTGGCGCAGTGGTTGAGCGCTGGGTTGCGAAGCTGCCCGCAGCCTCTGCAGCGCCAGTTCGATCCCCGGCTGCTCCCCGGCCACCGGCAGAGGGTCCCACATGGCGCGCAGACCTCTCCTGCCGCCCGCTGCTCCCCTCAGCAGTGTACTTCCGTCCTTCTGCCTGCTCTGCTCCCCGCTCTTGCTCTGGTGACTTCTCTCGCCCTCCCGCGCTTCTAACTGTACCCAGTGCTTGTATAAATAAATAAATAAAAATAAATAAATAAATCTTTAAAAAAAAAAAAAAAAGAAAAGAAAAATAGGAGTGGGGACTAAGAGACTAAAGGTTCCTCTTCTCCAAAGTTTAACATGAAAACAAACGTAGACCAGAATTGCTGTCTCCTGAAATCACACACAGGTGTGTGGTAGGAGGTGTTAAAAGTTGAAATTTTCCCTCTTTGGTGCCACCACCAATTCCAAAACAAGTCTACTTCTATCCACTTCCAGGGCCAATTGCGGAATTTTTCCATGATTAGAAAACTGTGCCAGCAGCGGAACACCACTTTTCCAGCATTGGAAAACAAGTTTGGATACACTCCGACATTTACAATCCCTTTCCCCCAAGAAAAGGTGAGAAAAGATGAGTGCTCTGCCTGAGATCACACAGCACATCAAATCGCAGTGGCCCCCAAGTTCATGTCTGGTTCTGAAGGCCCCATCCTGTAAACATGTTGTGATAGCAAACAGACAGAGATAAACAGGAAAGGCCCTGCTCGTCTCCCCCTGCTCCGCTGAGAAGCAGCAGCTATGTCTGCTCCTCCTCGCTGTTTCTCCTGCCAACTGTGATCGACCTCAGTGGTATGTTTGGGGGCTGGGGACATGAGGGGTTTCTTTTCTCCTACCTGACCTCAATTCTGATTCAGTTCAACATTTTTCATTATGTGTAGAGTTGTTCCCCTATCGGCCCTGGCCAGAATGAGGGTGTCACCAAAAAAAGAGAGAGATGATACAGGAAGGCGTAGATAAGCGAGCTTCTGAAGGCAGCTTTATCTACAGAGACAAAGACACGGCAGCCCCCACACCACGACCAGCCCACCTTCCCTCGTGAAGCAAGTGAATGGAGAGCCCAGGCTGCTGGGCTGGAGATTGAGGAGTCCCCAAGGCGCTTCTCACAGATTCAGAGTGAGGGTCCCACCTGGTCAGGGTTCACTGGACAGACTCGTCTGAATCAGCCCCAAATGAAGCTGAAGTCTGAAAGGAGGCTGGCCCTCTCCTCCGGATTAAGGGTGTCCCTGAACCTTCCCCCTCTCTGTTAGAACAGGAACCACACCTCCTGACTACACAGGGTGGGTTCAGGGCAGCAGCTGGGGCAGGCAGCAAGGGCTCCCTGGGCCTGACCCAATGAAAACACCAGCTGCCTGTGGGAGCCTGTCCAGTGGGGCTCGACCTTAGACACCAGGCTGGCCCCGAACCCCAGAAAAGGGCAGCGGCAGAACCAGAGGTCACCCTGGAATAACTATCAGAATTTTTTTAAAGTACGCACAGGGGATGGCAGTCGCCCTCCTCACCCATCCCCAAGGACACAGGCAGGTAACACACACACACACGCACACACACACACAGGTAAGAGCACACTCACCTGCACTCTGACTTCCTGACTCTGCGCCTCTCAGGCCAAATGAGGAATGTCATTGGCTCATTCTGGTGAGCTCCTTGGTGGCCGCTGCCATAGGATACAGGCTTTATTTAACATAACGAGTCCTTTCACTTCCCTAGCCCAGACCATGCACCCCTTCCAGAGATTTCTCCCCAAGGCATCAATCTCCAAGGTATCTACGTTCCTTCCGTGGGCTGACATCTCGCTCAGCCCCGTGGTTAGCTGGCTTTAGAGGTCTGAGCCTGCAGTCCCTGTGGCAGCTCCAGCAAAGGTGCATTATTTATCCCAGCTGCTGTTTTAATTAATAGAGAGACGCATTCAACATGCTCGACCACTGTCTCGGCAATCTCGGGCTGGAAAATAAACGGCTCCCAGCTGCATGTGCTCGGCTCTTTCAGATTCTGGTTCTAACTGCCGGCTCAGCGTGTGTGCAACTTGAACCGCCGCCCCAACCAGCCCAAGCACACTCGGCCACCTGTCCGTCCTCCACCCTGGGGGCTGGTTCAGCAGGCAGGCAGCGATCTCCAAGCACTAGCTGAACCTCTGGCTCCACCTAATGGCAAGAAATCCGCACTCCCTTTTCACAGATGGACAAACTGAGCTTCATCCAGAAGGGTCCCAAAAGGAGCAAACAAATTCAGCAAAGGCAACGCATGGTCCTCTGCTTGGCCTCCCACGCTGTAATTTTCTTCCCCTACCATCCTACAGGAGGGAGAGTGATGTCAACTTTTTAGTTAGCATCTTGGATTTTTCTCAGCCCTTTGTCTGCGAATAGCACTTCACACACATTATTCAAACAATCTCGGATGGGTGAGTCACTAGAACGTCTGCTGAATAATGAGGAACAAACAAGAGGCCTGAAATGGAGCTGAAAGACAGAGGTACAAATGGTACCTGACGTCCTGCCCAGGGTGCTGGCGGAACATTCGCTCATCCTCTCTGACCTTTGCCTGGCTTCCTCATCGCTTTTATCCGGGGAAAGCACTTTTGCGCGGGGCGGGGAAAGCTAAGTCGCTGGCTGGCTTGCCAGGGGAGGGTCTGCGCTCACCTTTAAATCAGGAGGCTTGCTTCGGGGCCCCGGGTTGGGCGCCGCCGTGGCGCCCGCGTCTGAAGTTGGCCCGCCAGCAGAGTTAGCACCCGCGGCCTCCCCAGGCCGGAGGTCCGCGCCCGGCAGGTGGCAAACGGCATCTTCCAGCCCAGCTCCATCCTCCTCGCCCTGCTGCTGCTGCTGCAGCTCGTCGGATTTGCACCTCTTCATGGTGTATGTGGGTCGACAAGGGGAATCTGTCCTTCCAGCGCGCCGTCTTGGGGGCGACCGCACACCCTCTTACACTGAGAATCGAGGCCCGGGGTCTAAATTATTAACTTGGAGGGGAGTCGGCGGACCACGATCGCTTGAATTAAAAAATAAGCCTTTTAAAGGTGGGCAAGGGAGGGGCGAGGAGAGAGCCTTGGTTACAGCTTGGAATAGTTCGTTACGACCTGGGGCGCGAAGACGGGTCACAGTCGACGCTGGGCAGCGGGAATCCTTGGGCAGTCATTGCAGCGGGAGGAGGAAGCCAGCCCCCGCACCCCAAACTTTCTGCTTCAGGGCATGGGCAGGGCGGAGGGGAGCTGGGCGGCACCGCGCAACCCTCCCGGCTAGCCGGGCTGCTGGGCGCGGCTGGGCACCGGGCAGCCGGCGGGGCAGGTCCTCGTCGGCCGCCCGAGTCGCCAGCTGCGGCCCCGGGCCCTGCCGCCGGCCCCGGCCCGCATGGGCTGGCCGCGGAGCCCGCAGCGCGCCCGGCCCCCTCCCGGCCCGCGCGCCCAGCTCCCGGCCCGCCGCCCAGCCTGCTGCAAAGCCGCGGCCGCGGCCCGAGCCAGCGGCGAGCGCGCAACCTACCCCGCCCGGCGCCTCCGCCCGGGAGGGGAAGGCGAGGCAAGGAGGGAGTGACAACGGCAGCGGGCCAATGGGAAGCCCGGAGGGCTGAGGGGGCGTCGCGCGGCCACGTTTTTAGGGTTGGTTGCACCGTGCGCTCCCCCAGGAGCGGTCCGGAGGGCTCTGCTGCTGCGTCTTAGCATTGCGGAGAGCGGGCTGCGGAGCCGAGGCGCGGGTTAGCGGACGCGTGAGACGCCCGCCCCAGGAAGGCTCTCTCGGAGCCCCCCACCCACTCGTTTTATTTAGCTGGGAGGGGCCGCAGTAGGGATGCTTGTCCTCACTGATTTTTTTACTTTAACTTTGCAGGTTTTCTTATATAAGACACCGAACCTCCAGGATGCTTGACCCAAACACAAACCTGTACCTACATTCCCGAGTGGGATGGCTCTTGACCCCTCGCCCCCGCTCCTACTTTAAGTAACTATCTCATGAGGCTTGGCGTTATGCAGAAATTTGAAAGTATTTCATGTCTGAATACAATAATGTGTGTGAGTTCTTGCAATCTGTGAAGCCACCTCTACGTGAGAATGGGTACTAGTGGCGGGAGGTTGATACACATGGAGGGAAGGAACACGGTGTTTTTCTCATAAATCTCAGCCAAACTGCTGCATAACGCAGAGGCAGGGCATACAAATGGTCGGGGTCACCAAAATATGTCTCAGAGTATAACAACCCAGGTGAGTGCCTACTCACTGTGCATACTGTTAAAACCAGACAACAGACCCAAAATGGAGTCACTTAGGCTAACCCGGGTCAACAAATGTAGACTTAATTGCAGTCTCAGCTTTCCCGGAAATGGAATCTGAAACCACTCAAGGAAGAATCACCTGGTCAGCAGTAACGAGGTCATCTGCCTGATAGCCTCTGCCATCCCCTCGATGAAAGTGGTCTTGGCACACATCACTCTTTGCCAGTATAACTTCTTTGTCCTTGCTCCCTTTGAAAGAGTGCTATAGTAGGTCAAGGACAGTGGCCAGTTAGAGGACAGATCCTTGTCCGTGGGTTCTCACCTGCACACACAACTGTCAGACCACTTGGGTTCAGGAGCCAGGATCCAACTCATCACAGCTGGAGGTGCTAACAGGTAGGGCCACTGCGATCATACCTCAGCAGCCCAGGGCCACAGTCTGAAGGTCGGGATGGACGGTAACGTATGCTGGACAGCAACAACGGAGGTAGCTGCAGTGGGAGGTGGTGTCGGTCAATCAGGAGCCTGCACCAGCAGTAAACAGCTCTTTGAGATACCAGGTCCTTAGCCTTTGGCAAGCCAGAGACAGTTGTGGCCAGCCTGGCCTTTGTGAAGCTCTTTGGCTTATCTGTGAAGCTTCTCGGCTTCTCTTCTCCCGTCGGAGTTCAGCTGCTGGGCCTTCTTTGGAGGTCTCTGCAAGAGTCTGAGAGTTCCAAGCTGGCTCCTGCCCTGGGCCTCTTTCAGGGCTCCCCACCCACAAGTCTGATTGGACCATAGCATCAACCAGCTCATGCCTTGAACCTGACCCTGGTGGTCCATTCTACAATCCAGGCACCAAATCCACGGGCCTCCCTACTGCCTACCACTGGAAGAGCCGCAGCGCTGGGCCTGGCCCCATGGGGCCAATTTTTCTGCTCCTCCTGCGGCTCTGACCAGGGGCTGCCTGCCTTGGGGCAGCGTGGTAAGGAAACCACCATCACTGCTGGCCTCTGCCTGCAGCCTGAGTAAAATGCCCACCACCCACTGCCGCTTGCACTGCCCACAGTTTCTGGGGCGGGTGCCAGGGAGGAGCTGCCCACAGGCGGCATGCACCAGGCAGCTGGGGAGAACTCGCCACCGCTTCTGGCTGAGGCAGCAACCAGAAGGAGCTGGTCACGTCCTGCAGCCCGCTCTGCAGGGTGGGGGTTTCACCTTCCTTTTGTCAAATTCCGTCCCTCAAATGTTCATTTTGCTTGGAGGTCCTTTCTGCCTATAAATGGGATGCTGCCCAACTCATGCATGGTTGAATAAAGCCAATAAAAAGTTGACATTTACACAGTTGAACTTGGTTTTCTAAAAGCACAGTGGTGTCGGCCCACCCAGCAGCCTCAAATTGGTGGCTTGGGGACCAGCAACAGCACCCTGAAGCTTGATAGAAATGCAAGTTCTTAGACACCAATCAGACCTGCTGAATCAAAACTAGTAGGCCCAGAAATCTGTTTTAACAAGCCCTCCAGGCAATTCTGATACAACCTACTACTTAAGAGCCATTGGCAACACTTGCATGAAGGGACCGCTCAGTCTTCAAGTCACTCGATGATCTCTAGGCTTTTACAGTTTACCCTTCTCTTTCACACCGTCCTGTGTGTTAGCCTCATCAGTCCTCGTAGTCTGTGAGTTCCCGACAGCATTCCAACCACTCATTTTAATGTGTATCCTAGAACAACCTAAGTTGCTAAGAATTTACTTCAGTCAAGCAGCTACTTTGTAAAGCAGGCAGCTCCATTTTTAGAAGATGGAAATTTTGGATGGGCTGAGAATGTAGAACCACCCCCACATCTACTACGCAGGATCAGGCACAAAGTGAAAACACAAAGCTACAAGCCTTTAGCGTTTTTGGTTTTTTTAAAAGATTTATTTATTTATGCATACAAGAGCTGGGTATAGGCAGCGGTGTGGGGGGTGAGAGGATTCACCAGAGACAGAGTGGGGAGCAGAACAGGTGGATCAACTGAAATACACTGCTGAGGGGAGCAGCAGGCAAAGACATGAGTCAGGAGAGGTCTGCTGCACCATGTGGGTAGCTCCCTGGCCAGGGATAGAACTAGTGATGCAGTGGCTGCTGATAGCTTCATGGTCCTGACACTTAACCCCTTCCGCTACCAGGGAGGCCCTAGTCTTTAGCATTTCTAATGGGAAAGGAAAGGCAGAGATGTCTCCTACCTAACCTGTCCCCAGAGAAGTGCAGGGTCCCCATAGAAACCTGGGCAAGAAGCAGCAAGAGATGACCTGCAAACAGTGTGACCCCGTGGACACATTTTCATGATCTGACTCTAAGCTGAAGTGGAGGAAGTCCGTGTGACACTATAAGGAAGCAGAGACCATTATTACTTCGAAAAATGACTTGTGTCTGTTCTGATGTTGACCTTAAGTTTGCCATTTTTATATTTTCATTTAAAGGTGGCATGAGGATCAGAATTTCTTATTTGTGACCTGTGTGAGCCACAGTTGCCAGTTTAAAGCTGCTGGCATTTTCATTAGCGATAGTAAATTCTTCAATACTTAAGTTGGACTTGAAAGTATTTTAACTGAAATTTATTTGAAGGATTGGATCATTCTGTTGTCCTAGGTCTATGTTTTGATGTTTAGGATAGAAAGTTGCAGATTGACAACACAAGAGGTGATAGGTGGTATATAGCATTAGCATTTTCCTTTCTGTGTTGGCACACCTAGTTAACTGCAAATAACACATATAGTGGGAACAACACTAGACTTTCTTGGTGTTAGAAAATCCATGTAAGAATTTGGATTCTTGGGGTCTCACTGGTGGCACAGGGGTTGTGCACAGCATGATGAAGCTACCCGAAGCCACTGCAGCACAAGTTCGATCCCTGGCCACGGAGCTGACCCACATGGTGCAGCAGACCTCTCTGACTCGTGTCTTGCTCGCTGCTCTCCTCAGCAGTGTGTTTCTATCGATCTGCCTGTTCTGTTCCCCACTCTGTCTCTGGTGAATCCTCTTACCCCCCCATACCTCTGGCCCATATACCAGTTCTCATATGCATAAGGATAAATAAATCTTTAAAAAAAAAAAAGAATTTGGATTCGTTTATCCTTGTGTGTTCTTGGGCAACTAAATCACTTACCTCTTTTCATTCTTGGTTTTCTCATCACTAAACAGGGGTTCCACATGGTTAGTGAAAAGGTTAAACTAGGTAATGCATATGAAAATACTCATTATATAGTATGTGCTTAGTAAACCTGAATGAAGCAAATTAATTAACAAACTTGTCAAAGTTCTGTCTGCCACTGACAAAGGCAAACATCCCACTAAGCCTCATGCTCTTTGTAAAAGGAAGTAAATCCCAGTTACACTGATGAAAAGGGGCATTTTCTGGTACAATCACATTTACTTTATCAGTACGTGTATAAACAAGAAGGAGAAAGACCAGGCTTATGAGTCCTGTTCCCTTGTCAACAGCCAGTTCATTTAACTC